GTGACATTAACAGTGGCTCATCTATTATGCACTCAAAATTTCAGGGGGAAAGAAAAGAATATAAAACTTGCTATTTTCAGAACTGTGCCAGTCTATACCTTTGAAAAAAATTAAAACCTCAGCTTTCCCCACTCAAAGATAAATCTAAATCCTATTTAATATTCATTAACATTGAGCAATCTCTTCTGTGCAGATCTTGTCCCACAGAAGATCTAATTATGTCATGAATTATATTTGGTGTTTAGGTGTGCTGTACCTATTTTCCAGTTTCATTTCTTTAATATGTATTCCCCATTAGAGCATGTGGCACAAGACAGTCAGAGAAAAAGTCAGCAACAGAAAACTTGCTTATAGGATCTGTCTGCACTATAGACTCCAAACACTTAGGCAAGTGATAAACTTTACTCAGATGACAAATCCCACTGAAATCAATGGGATCACAGCTAATATATTCATTTAAGTGTCTTCAGGATCAGGCCTTCTGTGAAGCATATATGCAAAGTGGAATCCTGGCCCTATTAAATCTTTGGCAGAATGTGCAATGATGTCTGTGGAGGCAGGTTGAATTTAAAGCTTATAAAAGTAAAATTATTGATATAAAATAGTATAATATTATATATAATACATATAGCATTTATTAGGGAATAAATTTGCACAGTAAAACATTATCTTGTATCAGATTTGCTTTTTTATTTCATAACCCTGGAGATAAATATTAGTTTATCAGCTAAATTAGCAGCAATGTAATTAAAAGATTGAACATATTTTGCTCAAACAAAATACATTGATACAGACCTTGAATTGTCATGAGCTGAACATGAAACTAAGCTGGATGTCAAGCACTAACTAAGCTTATTTGGCGGCAGTATAGGAGAACTAAAACGTCTCAAACCTTTAGCATAAACTTAGCTCAGCTGTCATGTAAAATAATGACACAAGACTTTCTTCAATCAAGCTGGGAAAAAATGGCATGAAGTTCTATTTGCTACAGCTTGAACTAAAGTCAAAATCATCATGCAGTTCTCAAGTTTATCTGTAGGAATTTCAGAGAGATAAAGACAAGAATAGGATCTGTTTAGCACATTATATGGTGTGAAGTGTGCAAGAGCAATGCAGCAAGGTTTTACAGATTATTTGCACCTCCTACTATCATTTACACCTGGTCAAAGGTGTAAATGCAAAACATTGCAATGTAGAACAGCACGAAGTGCAGTGCAGAGTATCTGCAAAGTGCTTTAACAAGAGGAATGACTTTTTTTTTTTTTTTTTTTTTTTTGCCCCTTATTTTGCCAGGGCATGATGCTGCCCAAAGGATATAAAGGAGAGGATCTGATCCTATATTATCTCTTAGAATGATTTTCTTACTGCCTTTCTAAACCTGCTTCACGTTGCTCCCAAGATAGATATTCAGAAATCTATAAGGTCATAAAAGGCAAAGTCTAAAATCAGGGTCATTTCAGAGAATGTTAAAATCAACTGGTCTCCTCCTCAACTCTCTGAGAAGCATTGGGACAGGCTGTACAAACCTATACCTGAAATACACCTAGAAAAAGCATTAATTTCCCCACTTGCTGTAATAATCTCACACTCTGCAGCTAAGGCTCCACATTTAGACTATCTCTGCAGCGAGCTGACTGGTCGGCAGCTGACTCGGGGAGCTTGGTGTGACCATGAACCATAGGGCTAGCTGCAAGACATAGGTTTTTTGACCTTTTCCAACCCACAAATAATACCACAGCTCAGAAGAACTATGCCAAATAAACCAAGACCTGTGCTGAGTGCAAAGAAAAGGGGGCTGGGGAGGACAGGAAGGAGGTTCTGAAAGAGCTGCCTATTTCTGGATGCACTGATGGGAGGTGTTCAGGCCCCTGTAGGGACAAAAAAGTCATTTAAGGACCTGGACAGAGAAAGAGGTTAGATTAGAAAGAGGGTAGGCTTGAAAGAGACAGCTGAACCCTAGAGTTAAATTGAATTTCTCCAATAACATGCATGGTATTTTTAAGCCTTAGGAGTTTTCTGTTACATTTCAACTGACTGGGTCCTCAGCTGATGTGTATGGTACAAGTGGATAATTCCACATCTGGAAGTGCAGCTACAATGTAAAGCATTAGCAAAAGATCAGAATCCCTCCAGTATCTTCTTTTGAAAATATATCTCTCACAATTTAACAGATAGATTAAAAACTAAAAAATTGTTGGAATCCACTCCTTGCAAAACCCACAATTTTTCTTCACATTTTATGAGACACAATATAGTTTTGGAATTGCACCAGATGTAGTAAATTTTTGCTAAAAAAGTCTATTTTTAATATAAAACATATACTTGTTCTATAACACATATATCCCTGAATATGCATAAATTGTCAGAAATGTGAAGTGATTATTACTGCAGTACTATAGAAATACTCTGTAAGAAATAATTGCTCTGTAAATGATAACTATGAACACCGATATTTCATACCAGTGGAAAAGGATTAGCCTTTTAATAGCAGCAACTGAGAGCTGTAAGATGCTACTTTTTATCTAACCAGCATCTAACACACCTGCAGAAATTCCTTAAGCACTACAGAAAATAAATAAATAAATAAATAAAACACGTTAAAGTAAATGCATTTCACACTGGGAACTGGAACTTAGATACAAAAAATCTGTACTACTCCTGTGCTGCCCATTGACTTGCCTGCCACTACGAAAAGATTTATATAGACAAGGACAGCAGTTTGCCTGGATGGGATTTTGACACCAGCCTTGCATGGTTTTCCTTCATCCCCATTAAAGGGTATAAATGGATGTCCGCTTCATGGGCATCAGGTAGATACATCTAAATTTCGCATTAGAAAGTAATACAAAAAAAAAAAAGAAGTTTAAAAATAAAAGCCTGGTGAAACTCTTAATTCACAGATGTTCACAGAATTATGGTAAAACCAACTGGTTACTGTGCTAAGATTCAATTGCCTAAAAAGATAATCTTAGAGGTCCCAAGGTAGCAAACTTGACCTTCATCAAACACTCCAGACCATGGCTCTCCCACTAGTCTTGTGTCCTATCTGCCAGCTCCCTGTGGATGTCTTGGATACACTGGGATGCCTAAGAACTAAAAGGTAGATGAGATAGCCCAAGGTCCCCACTACGACAACATCCTACCCTAGGAATATAAGGAGATACATGATTTTGCTATGTAAGTAGTTTCTCCAGGAAATTACTTAAGGGGGTCACTTGTGAAATTTTGTAACTTCTGCCATGATGTAAAGACCTGCACCTCATATTACCCAATTTTGCACTGAGTAAGTTAGGTATCTGCCTTGCTTAAATGATGCACATTTTGAAACGTGCTTCAATGAACTAAGACAACATATTTTGTGTAATGGCAGGGCTCTATCCTGAGTGGTCCTACAGTAGGTGAAGTGTTTCAATCTTGAGCCACTTCACCAGGACCTTTCATTTTTTTTTTTTTGTAAACCTTCACAATAAGATAGAGCCAGCACAGCAAAGTCAATGGGTTTGACAATCCAGTATTCTGTTTAGACACATATTATCCCCACTTTAAACACACAGTGAATCAAATCTTTGAACCTTATATATATTTTTTGAGAAGCTACAATGTCAGCATTTTTATAGCATAGCCTACATTCATGGATGAATAATCTGTGGGGAAAAGAATGGTTAAGGAAGTATTGCTCTGGAACACAAGAATGACCAATCTGGATTTTGCAAATGTTTGATAGAAAAACACAGAGTGTCTTGTGCTCATTTTTTGCTTAAGCTATAGTTTCATTAGCTGATATTTATACTGCTTCCCCACTTATAAAATACAGCATGCTAATTGAATATAAGAAAATAAATACCACATAAACAATTTAAATGCTTAAAACATACAAGGGAATAATCTCAAGCTGTTTCAAAACCATGGAAAAAAAACAACGTTAATTTTAATCATTAACGAATCATAGTCTAAAACTACAGGTGTGATGCATAAAAAACAGTGCTAGGCAAAACCAGAAAACATTCTTGATAAAAGAGTCTGCAGTAATCTTTCAGTACTGTATGTCATGAAATAAGCTCTACTCCTAAACAATAAGTTAGGTCTATAAACTAGTCAACACTGAGTTACCAAGAACAGAGAGATGCTGAAAAGGGCTTTCTAATCTTAGTTAAATTTTCAGCAGCAGTAAATTGAAATAGAAATGAACAGTGAAGGGTTTACATCTAACAGTAGTCATTTTTCTCCATGCTCACAATATACTTATAAAGGCCATTCTGCACCCAGTCTCAGAGACCGAGATAAGTTCCTAAGGTGGGATAAATCCTTACGCATCTTGGAAAGCTCTTGCTTTCTGTCTTGCAACTTTGTATTGTAGTAAGTCCTCTGTAGAACATTATCAATTTATTCAGTGTATTGCTTTCAAGCTGAGATTATATAGATTTCCAGAAAAATGAGGATGACGAAGAAAGTGATTGTCAAGGGCCCTCTCCTCTTTTTGTTATGACAACAAAAAAAGAAAATTTATTAAAATTAGGTATAAACCTAATAGTGTCTCTTATTTTTCACTAATTCTGACATACTTTCTCAGGACATCCTCAGTTTATCACAGCTGAAAAGGGAGACGGGGATTTTTGTGAGCTTCTGTTATAACACTGGTGCAGAACATATCATAATGGCCAAAGACCTCTACCAGGACTGTATAGCACAACCACAGCAGCTTCATAAAATGATTCTTTGAATTGGATCATTACATTTCTAAACTGAGTATATACAGCTTAGAATATACCAGTGAAGCATGATATTCTTGAGATTATACCAGTGAAGCACTGGCCAGCACATAAGAAAATCCTGAAGCACTCACGGCCATGTTTTCCAGATCCACATTTCTGTAGAGACTGCAGAATCTTTATTCTGCTGCCTTGCAACCAGCCTTGGACCCTTTCAAACACCTTTTAAACACTCTTCTTAAAATTTGTGAATAATTCCCTTTCTTGTTAATATAACATAAATGTTCCTACCTTTGGCTTTTGACTCTTCTCCTTATCAGACACGTTGGATGGTTTTCTTTTCAACATGTTTAATTCAGATTTATCCAGCTGATGGGCAACGGCCTCTAGACTGTAACCACACTGAGTACGACAGGACGCGGTGCACAATGAACAGCAGTTCCTTATTCTGTCAGGATGTGACTTCAGCTTAGCAGAACGGGTGAGCAAGTTGAAATATTTGTGTGGGGAGGGAGAAAGGAAGGATGGGAGGAAGTGACGGGGAAAGAAAAGTGCACCAGGAGATTCGTCAAAGACGGGGACAGGGTTCAGAGTGAGAAGTGCTTTAAGGGCATTTCCCTCTGTGTCCCTAGCAGGTCTTTGCGCAATCTCAAGAAAACCCACCTCTTCTCTAATTTCCCCTCCTCAGCCTTGTTGGCACTAACTGCACCGCTCGTCCCAGCTTGTGCTGGCACTCGGATGTGAAGAGGTTGTAGTGCTATTTGGACATCAGGCAATATCTGACATATTTGCATTGTGCTACCTGGGTGAGCTGTTCACCAGCTCCTCCCTTTCTCTCTCAGATCTACAGCTGTGCAGTAACTGCAAAGACATTAAAGGACACCATTCGGGAGAGTAAGGACACTTTCTAAAGCCATGTGATTTTGTTTTGCCTTTTTTTTTATGTTGGAATAATTTTTGGCCTTTTATCACAAAATCTGGACACCTTACAATGGCACTTCTCAGTCCTCCACTGTCATTGCTTTGAGGACAAAGTTATAGCAAGTGTTACAGAGCACTCACAACAGAATCAGAGGAGTACAACAAACTTAAGTCCTTTAAGCTGCCTTTAAACACAGCCAGTAGGCTAAATGAAAAGTGAAGGTATTAAGACTTAACTTTGAATTTCTGCTTCATTATGTGAACAAACAGAAATGTCTTGAGCATCCAAAATATAACTTATTTAATTGTGTATCGTTGCCCACAAATCTAGAAATCATCCAAAATTCCCTTCTTTCTACTGAAAGACAAATTTTCAATTTCAAATGCAAGACTTTGGAGTCACACATACAGCTTCCATTATATTTAATGGAAGTTAATGTTTAGTTAATTTGTAGTTAATGTTTAGTTCAATGTTCTACAAATGGACTATACAAGCTATTCTGAAGAAAGCCATAGAAAGAGCTACTGAAAAAAAAATAAAATTTTGGTAAAATTTCATTTTTTTCAAAAGGTTTTGTAACATTTTAGGTTATCATGTTATATTTTATATAGTATATTATTACATTATAATAACAATGACAGTAATAGTTTGTGAGGGGTACGTTTCTTTCATATATCTTATAACAACATTTGAAAAGTACATTTACATTTCATACTACAAGGTTTCAACATGAATATTTAGTCAACCTTGGTAATTCAGTAGGGCCATGTGTTGTTATAGAAACTGGATGTATATTTATAGTAATTAAACCTGATTATTTATCTATATAGATGTACAATGCACTGTATTGCTTTTCCTTAAAATCTGATCCAAACATTGGGATTATATCAGAGTATGCTGATCATTAGACTGTGGTTTCCTGTCTCAGGCCACTGTTAAAATCTTCATGATTAATAAAATGGGAATTCATCTGAAGAGTAATATATGAGCTTCCTTTCTGTAGAATATTTATTGTTAAACAGGAAGAAAGAGGCCATTTCAAGAGATATAGTACCCACCCATATCTATTTCCTTTCCTCATCCACATATCAGAAAAATTATAGCAGCTTGAAAGCTGACCTGATTATGTGCTTGCCCTTGGAAAGTTGACCCACACACTAGTTTTAAAAAGTAGCAAAGTGAGGAAAAATCAAACGTATATAACACTAAGTTCACTTGATTTAGTTAATCAATTCATTTCAAATAAGGGTCTTTTGAATTAAAAATTAATAACAAGTTTGGATTCTTATATCCTCTGTATTTCAAGCTGATTTTCAAAGAAGAATGTATGTATACGTAAAATTAAAATAAAAATTCTCATATTCTGTTTTCTGTTGGACACGATTACAGAGAATTTTCTCTTTTTTCTTGCTACTCTTTGAGCCTGATCCAAATGCCTTGGAATCAATAGAAGTTTTTTTGATGGAACTTGAACTCCATCCTAAAATGCTCAGACAATGCTACCCTTCTCTCTGGAAAATCTTATGGGAAGAAAAGAAATTTTCCACTTAAAAATAGTTATGAAGAACACAGGGGAATTATTCTCTCTGACAGCAGATTTATAAGAGACAGCACACGTTATTATATATGATAGTATATTACATACATATACATAATATATTACATATATGTAATATATTATCATGTTTTCAGTTTTAAAAGATAGATAGACGTGGCTATTTGAGTGCTTTATGTATCTCCCACATAATATCAAATACAATGACAGTATCATACCATCTCAGTGGCTCCATCCCATTGCCCTCCCTTGAATGGAGAGGCCACATCATACAAATCTGGCCCATAATTTAAACGGATACTTAGAGATACCTTTGTCCTGTGCACTGCTATCCTTTATTTTAGGCAATCCAAGCGTTCCCAAACTGTGTTTTTTTTGTGTTTGTTTTTTGTTTAATTAAAGTAGGAATTCCATTTTGTAATGGAGAATTTTTACAGCCATGCCTCCTTCTGTGTGATCTAGCTTGTTCGATATTGCAGAAGTCTCAGAATAGCAAGTACAGTTGAATGAATAATTTGCAGTGAATAATTTACTGAACAAATTTAGTCCTTATTTCCTCAAGAAATGATCATGAGCAGAACACGATTTCCTCAAATGTATTAGTTATGGGTCAGAACATAGCTCGATCCGTAGCTCTCCTGATCTAACCTATGCAAGTGTCAGCCACAGTTACAGTCGCTGTTACCTCCTGGCACAGACCCTGTTCGCTCCACAAATGACCACAGCAAAGTCCACAGCAAAGACCCCACAGAATCTAAAAGGCGCAAGTGCGAAAAAGTCAAACCCTTCCTCCCCTGCAGCAGCCCATGAAAGAAGCCAGATGTTACAGGAATTATTTAGACTAAACACTGTCCTTTTTTCTTTTAACTTCAAAGACTGAGGCTATGATTTTCCATGAAGCTTCTGTGGAACACAGCTTAAGGGCTTAACCCTTAAAGTTAAGTTGGGACTTAAAGTCCCAACTTTCAAACTCACTGCAAACTGTAAGCATTCATTACGTAGCACTTCAAATTGGTCTCTTATGCTTATATATATATTTTTTTTCATGCAGCAAAGCATGTCATTTCCTATTGAATAGACACCCATATGCTTATTATCAAAAGAAAAAAACGAAGAAGCTACAGAAACTCTGAATTTTTAAGAGGCAAGACAGGATTAAAGAACATTTTAAGCCTACACCCTTGATTTAGTTGAGAATTGAAAATCATCTTTGTCTGGACCCTATAGCAAGAAATCTTCTTTCTTGTACAAAGTATAACTCCCTCAAAACCTGCAGAAACTGGCTATTCAGCAAAGCCAGTGTCAAAGCTAATAGCTAAGTATTTCAAGTTTGCATCAAAAATTTGATTTTCTCAAAATAATTTAGAATTATGTCATACATTTACTGAAACATCAGGGAACAACAACCATGGCTAAGCATTTTTAGGCCACAGTCATGATGCAGAGCAACAGGAATACCCTCAACACGCAGAGTTCCTGGAATTCTGGATTCAGCTTTTCAGACTCTCGATCTTCCTTCTCTTCCCGAAAAAATAATTTTATGTTTCTTTCTTCTTTTATGCTAATCCTTTTCCACTAAGGTCAATGTAATCACAGTGAAATATAGCAGGGACAGATTACAGAGCATCACTACCAAAGCTCCCACTGAATTTAAAGGTATATCTGGTACAAACAGCAGTTGCCACTGAGTAAGAAAAAGTGTCTCTTTGCCAGGCCCTCAGAATATGTCCTTGGCAGGCTTCCAACATCTCCTGCCTTAAAAGGTGAAATGAAGTACCAGAAAGTTATCTCAAACTTTGATCCCAACACATTCTCTTGTATTAACCTTAGATGAACAGATCAGTCATGCCTACACTATGTCAGGTTAGCACTAACACTAATAGAAAGACATACTATTGTGACAGAAGGATTCTCAAGGGGATTGGCTTTCACCTATTGAACATCTCCCTTTCTTATTACCTTGAAGAGTAAGAGCCAAAGTTGTATTTATATCTTCCAGACATTCCTGTTGGGAAAACTCAAAGTCAGCAAGGTTGGTATCTTGCAACCACAACCTTATCCAGCATCTGTGTAATAATTTCCAGCAGATATACGTGCGTCACTAGTGGTTTTCCTGTACAATTTATTGTAAGCAGAACACTTTTTACTGTCTGTGACAAATAACAGAAAGTAATTAGCAGGATGATTCTGCTGAGGGTTCAGGTATGCGTGTGAACAGCGCTCTATCTCAGAGTGAATGTTAAAACATAGTTAGAAGTTGCATTGCAATGGTCATGCCTAGAACATCTCATTAGATCCTGCTAGTGAGCATTGGGATTACTAATCAGCTACCAGAGCATTTGCAGGTTTGCATTTAATTTGCAGGTTTCTGCAGCTGCAGCTCAGCCTTCTTGAAATGCATTTATATATAAAGAATGTTTGCTGCCTTGCACATCTATTCAGAAAGAGAACTCATATAGGAACATAGAAATTTAGGCTCTCTCTGTTAATTTACATGCAAAACAGGACATTCTTCATTTGCCGTTTTGAAGATCAGGTTAGCACACAAGCATTGGCAATGCAGCCAGGAATTTTTTTAGGTACGTACATGATGTCTGTCTATTTCTGACTAGAATCAAGATCAACAAAAGTAAATTCTGATTAACTCTAATGCGCAGCCTGCAGTCAGGAAACTCTTTGTAGTTTGAGACATCTTTTACTGGTAAACATCTGCTGAATTTCTTCACTGATGGCAGAAAGTCAAGCTGCTGCACCACTATAGCATTTGAACTGCTGCTTTAAATGTTAACTTGAAAAAAAAAAAAAGGTACTACGCTCTGTATTCATTTGCAGGACTCCAAAATCTCACTTTGCTTCTACTGGAAAAGGCTATTCCCCCTTTCTTCTTCAACATGGTTTCAAGTGGGTAAAAATCAAAATCCGGAAGTGAC